GTTCTTTACTTAGATCATCTAAGTAATTTATATATACATCATGTCAGACTTTAAGCCTTATGTGAATGCAAACACCTCAATACTTGGTAGACAATACACAATGGTGGTAACATTTGATGGATCGTTTTTGTGTTTGAATGTGTCGTTTTAAGCAAAAAATTTACTCGAAATGTCACAAAATGGCAATTTACTAATACTGAAAACAAAAATCAATGATAAAACAGTGTAAATACAGCTGGAAACCAGTGAAAAATGAGCCTCATTAATTATTCAAGGTCCAGTGCATGATGGGAACCCCAGTATCAGAAAAGTTGAGTAATTTTTACTTAATTTTATTGAGTTGATATTACACTTTCATTTATACTCGCTTGAATTAAGTACTGATATGGAATTTACTTAGTTTTTTTAATTCTTGCCTGAACTAACTTTTTCAAGTAAATTACATTGGGTTTTTTCACTAGTATTTACTTAACCAAAAAATCATTTTTTACAGTGTAAGTCACCGCTTCGCTGGAAGATCATTACGCATTACAAGGTAACGCAACTGTTTAGTCTAATTACTCTCATGGCATTCATAGTGAAGAATAACTTCCCCTTCTTTCCAGCATCTCTTCTCTGATGATGTGGGCGGGGCAACCTGTCACTCACATGAGATCAGCCAACAGCAAACCACCAACCATCCAATCAATCCCCCACAGACACAATCAAGCCCCGCCCACTTTTGTTCTTGTTCGGTAAGCGCGACACAATAAAGGAGAAAAGACTAGCGTAAAACTTCCCTTTTATGCTGATTATTATCTTGAAAGAAAATAGAGAACTCTAGATTTTATATTTATATTTATTAGGGCTGTGCAAAAGTTAATTGCGATTAATCGCATCCAAAATAAAAGTCTGTATAAACCTAATATATTTGAGTGTGCTGTATATAATTATTTTGTATATATAAATAGGCCTACCTATGCATGCATGTATACATTTAAGAATTATTTGTGCTTAAATTCTGTATATATATAAAAATACATAATCTATATTATATACATATAAATATTTTATATATGAATAACACATTTTCTTAAATATATACATGCATGTGTGTGTATTTATATATACAAAATAATTATATACAGCACACACGAATATATTATGTAAACACAGACTTTTATTTTAGATGCGATTAATCGCAATTCATTTTTGCACAGGCCTAATATTTATTTATTTTAATATGCTAAAAGTGTTGGTTATTACAGTGTAATTATACACTATATATTTAAGTAGCCTACTGGATAATATTAATTATGTGTATCTTTCCAATTCCTTTATTTTTTTTTTGTAAAGTGCTTTGAGATAGTACTTTTAAAGGCACTATATAAAATAAAGTTTATTATTATTATTAACTACATGTACTGACTAGGGTTAGGGTAGGGTTTGGGTTAGTTGCGTGTAATTAATTATGCATCATTTGTTATATGGTAAGTACATGTATGTAACTGTAAAGGAGGACAGATGAAATGTCATTAAAGCAAGTGTTTTTATGCGCCTGACACGTCGCTGGTCATAGCGTCGCGTCTCATAACATGAGCGTTGCGTTTTAAAGACGACGCGTCAAGTTAAAAGCAGTTCGCCGCGTCTCGGATCCCCTGCGTCGCGTTCTGTCCCATTCCGTCGCGTTTATGGACGCGTCCAGTCTGTGCGAACGACTTCTAGTTGTATAACTCAAACGTATCAATGGATATCACATCACATCACGCGCGTGACGCCGCTTTGACGCGCGTCTAGAGTTATGCAAGGGAAAAAGAAGTTATGCTGAAATATTATTCGTCCTGATGAAAAACTAATGGCATACCTCAAACCTCCAGGCAGGCACAGCCGTGACTTCATGCATGAGGAGCCCGAGCCCGAGCCCGGCCAGCGCCAGCAGAACAAGCCCTTCGAGGTTTCCATGAACTTCACGCACCATCTTCGCGACGTCAACGCGCAAATATGCGCCTTAACAAAGACGAATCAAACCTCACCACTTATTATTACTCCCATGGGTTATGTGTCATGCCATGGGCTCCCGACAGACAGACAGCTTCTCCTCCTCAGAGTTCGGTGTTCAGCAGAGACTGAGCTCAGATGGAGACACACACACACACACACACACACACACACACAGCTGCACACATTGTAATGCAATCAATGCTGTTTTTACCACACTTGCTGTTTCATTTTCATTTTTGGAGGATTAATCATCTTTCAAGAGACATCTGTTATTGATTTTGCATCATTCTTGCACTAAAAATACAAGTAGTCTATAATAGCATATCAAACCAACCACAACAGTTCTGCTGTCTGAACCAAAACAGTCTCAATCTTGTTTTTTTGCTTTGGCTTCTAAAAATTACATTGATTGTTTAATCATCCATCATTCCCTTATTCCTGTTATTAAAACATGTAGTGTTCACCACATCACAGGACTTTTGTCACACACTTGAACCACGAATACTGGTGTACACACACACACACACACAAATGGATTTCCCATAGTTTTGTGGTTGAAATTTAAAAAAGTAATACATCCTTTCCTTTAATGTGACCCGAATGAATGAAATGTGAAGAATGCTATAGAAAAACTAAAGATGCTAAAACTTTAATCAAAATGTGTTGTATAATGTGTACATGTGTGTCTGAATACACACTGAAGAGAAACTGAGTTTAGGACCCAGCGGAACAGCTCATATAGAGATATAAGCCCATCTATAGAGTCATGAAATGTGATATTATTTATTTTGCACAAGAGGTCAAAGACTCCTGTGGGGTTTTTTTGGGTTTTTTTTCTTTTTTTTTTCGATTTCTAAATGATAGTGACACAACTGGAGCTGCATGTGCAAAACTAACTACAGTCTACACAGAACATCACCTGAGATACACACACTCACACAGCTAAACACGTGCTCAGTGCAGACACGCACACTACACACCCCTCACTGAGATAACACACTGAGAGGAAAAACACCAATACAAAAAACACACACTTTTCATCTTTACAGTTTGATCAATTTCAGTGACTTCATACGAAGTGAAAGAAAAGAGTGACATTCTTTCACATGAATTATTTACATTTTTAGAAGATTGCAAGTCTTTAACCCTTGTGCTGCATTAGATTTTTAACACCGTTGAGTGCATTAAGGACCAAAAATGGCCACATATTAAACATTGCCTAAAATATTATATATTATTATTATTTACCACTTTTACCAAGTTAAATCTTTTAACCAGCATCAGTCCTCATCATAACTACCAAAAATGTATTCAATTTCAGGATTTTAACCCTTTAATTACCAGTTTTGTTTGCGAAACCATCGATTTGTATAAGAGGAAAAAACACAAAAATTCAATTATTTTCAATAAACTAAATGCAAAGAGAAAACTTTAGATTTGGATTATCACAGTCCCACTTTGCAAAAAATCCCACTTAGCGCGTTAGAGACCAAAAATGGCCACCTATTAAACATTGCCTATTGCCTAAAATAAGGTGCATTTCCACCCATAGGGAATAAATATGTAGTGACGTCATCACTATATAATGCAAATATAATGCTTTTGCTTCAAAATGAAAGGATGTTTGTGCAAAAATCATGTTTCATGTATTACTGACAGCCTTTAGATTTAAACAACGTTTTAATGGGTTTCAATGGGCCATTTTTGGTCTTTATGGTGCTGAGTGTTACTATTTGATCTACAGATGTGTGTTATACATATTTTGCAAAATGGGATCACATTTTTTACATGTATCCAAAAAGTCACAATTTTGCCAAATTTCATACCATTTGCATTAAAACAGCCAAAATGGTCAAAGAAATTAAACTGCAAAAGACCAAAAATGTCCCTAATGCAGCATAAGGGTTAAGGTAAAAGAAAATTAGCAGTTTGCCAGTAATGAGCAAAAAAAGGTAGAATCCTGAAATTCAGATCCTCTCTCTCCACATCAGCCACAGGTGTCGGACGCCCAGCTGAAGTGCACTCCGCAGTGTGTGTAAGGCTCTGCTCTCTCTCCACATCAGCCACAGGTGTCGGACGCCCAGCTTACTATTGACCGGTGGTCATGTGTGTGATGCGTGTGATTTGAACGTGGGCTCACTATTCACACACACACATGACCAGCATCGGCCAATCGTGAGCCTGTGTGTGACGTACACCAGAAGTGCTGCGCTGTTAAACTAGTGAACTCACTCGAGGCCCACAGAGAAGGAAATTAATAGTGTAATAAAATTGTTTTTTTGTTAGTTTTTTGCGCAAAAAAGTATTCTCGTCACTTGATAAGCTTAAGGTTGAGCCACTGTAGTCACTCAGACTATTTTAAGTTTTTAACAATGTCTTTAATAACTTTCTGGGCGGACAAGTTTCAATAACATAGAAGCCGAGTGATCTCAGATTTAATCAGAAATATCTTAATGTGTGTCCCGAAGATGAACGAAAGTCTTACGGGGTTGAACAACTTGAGGGAGAGTCATTACTGACAGAGTTTTCATTTTTGGGTGAACTATCCCTACAATACAATATACAAACAGATTATTAATCAGATATGAACCAGGCCAACAGGGAATGTTCTCTCAAAGTCATGAACAATCATTATCTGGTCTTTAATAAAAAAACATAAGCACAAAACAACATAGTGTCGGCCCGGATCCGGCCCACATCCGGTACGCGTGGAATCCACACGTGATCTGGGCCAACATGTTGGTCATGGTGATGCTGTGGTGCGTTCAGCTGATGTGCTCGTTTATCTGTTCATGTTTACTGTTGACTGACTGCAGTTTGGCTCGGATTTATCTAACCTATTTTATCTGTCTTACACTCACTTTTCTTTTCAGATATTTATTTATATCCGATTATTATTTCATTTTAATATGTTTATTAATTTTTTTTTTTTACATTTCACACAATTTATGCTTTGAACCCACTTTGAAACCCGAAAACCTGTCAGAGGCGGAACGAAGATTCTTTGCCGTGTTTCCGCCCGGACTGTATTACACGCGCTACACTCTGAGGTGTTGGACGGAAACGGCGATGTGTGAGTCGGTTAATGTTGCTAATGTCGATTAAATCCTCACTGGACTGTCACGCTTCTGCTCGGACCCTGCGGGGATTGACCCCTGAACCCTGAACCCATGGCACGATGCGTGAGCGGCTCTGCTGAAGAGATAGCGTGTGTGTGTGGAGCAGGTAACAGTTAACATTACGATCCTGACGGACACTTTGATAATCTCTGATAATCTCTCTAACTAGCGTTAGCCTTTAGCAGCCGGACCACTATCATAATCATCATAATCAGCGATCAAACACATGAGAAAGAAACGCGTTTTGTATTTAACACACGGATGAGTGAGTTTGTATGGACACGTGATCTGATGTTGATGAGCAGATCAACAGGTGAGCTGATTATGGCTCTTTAATTAATGCTTACAGTATTGTACTTTTCTACTGGGGGCTTGATTTAACGGACCCCGAGCCCTTTCATATCTACTACTAATAATAATTCATGTAATCATGTTTAAATATGGAACATTTCTACCTAAATATAGTATTACTATCCAGAAAGACACGGTATAACCAATACTGATAAAATGATGAAGATTTACTGCATTATTTAGTTTATTATAATAACAAACATGGGATTTTGGCAGGATTTTGTTAGTGTCCTTGTGTTTTTGAAGGGCATATGTTTTTCACATGTCATTTCCAGTCATTAATATCGTTTTTTCGTAAAACACAATTTCACAGAGCCGTGTAATTATTGTTTAAATGTCTGTGGTGTTTTTAATATTCTTTAAGACAAGTTCATGTCAAGAGCTGTGTGATAATATAAGTTAATGAATGTCTGCTGGTGTGTAATGATTAGTGTGTGTGTGTGTGTGTGTGTGTGTCTCGACAGCTCGTCTCCTCTCTCTGAAGCGCTGCTAGATTGATCCGCCATGAAGCAGGCCAGCCACGAGACCTGTGTTCTCACGGGGTCCAACGGCCTGAACGGGTCGGGGTGTCCTGGAGCGGGTCGGGCCCAGGGCTTGAGGGGTGTGCAGGGCAAGTGCGCGGCGTATGTGTTAGCGCTGCGTCCCTGGAGCTTCAGCGCCTCGCTAACACCCGTGGCCCTCGGCAGCGCGCTGGCCTACAAGCTGGAGGGGTCCGTGGACCTGCTGGTTCTGCTGGTGTGTGCTGTGACCGTTCTGCTGGTTCACGGCGCCGGGAACCTGGTCAACACCTACTACGACTTCTCCAAGGGCATCGATCATAAGAAGAGCGACGACCGGACCTTGGTGGACCAGATCCTGAAGCCGCAGGACGTGGTGCTGTTCGGGGCGGTGCTGTACTCCGCCGGCTGTCTGTGTGCAACACTGCTCTTCTGCCTGTCCTCGCTCAGACTCGAGCATCTGGCGCTCGTCTACTTCGGGGGACTGTCCAGCTCTTTCTTATACACTGGAGGTGAATATGATGGGTTATGACTGGGTCTTAAAAAATGGCCATGAAGGGGAAAATTGGCTATATAGACCAAAAATTACTGGAGGTGATTATGATAACTTATGACTGGGTCTTAAAAATGGCCATGAAGGGCAAAATTAGCTATATAGACCAAAAATGACTGGAGGTGAATAAGATGGGTTATGACTGGGTCTTAAAAAATGGCCATGAAGGGCAAAATTAGCTATATAGACCAAAAATTACTGGAGGTGATTATGATGGGTTATGACTGGGTCTTAAAAAAATGCCATGAAGGGGAAAATTAGCTATATAGACCAAAAATTACTGGAGGTGAATATGATGGGTTATGACTGGGTCCTAAAAAATGGCCATGAAGGGCAAAATTAGCTGTATAGACCAAAAATTACTGGAGGTGAATATGATGGGTTATGGCTGGGTCTTAAAAAATGGCCATGAAGGGCAAAATTAGCTGTATAGACCAAAAATTACTGGAGGTGAATATGATGGGTTATGGCTGGGTCCTAAAAAATGGCCATGAAGGGGAAAATTAGCTATATAGACCAAAAATTACTGGAGGTGAATATGATGGGTTATGGCTGGGTCTTAAAAAATGGCCATGAAGGGCAAAATTAGCTATATAGACCCAAAAAGTATTGGAGGTGAATATGATGGGTTATGGCTGGGTCTTAAAAAAATGGCCATGAAGGGCAAAATTAGCTGTATAGACCAAAAATTACTGGAGGTGAATATGATGGGTTATGGCTGGGTCTTAAAAAATGGCCATGAATGGCAAAATTAGCTATATAGACCCAAAAAGTATTGGAGGTGAATATGATGGGTTATGGCTGGGTCTTAAAAAATGGCCATGAAGGGCAAAATTAGCTATATAGACCCAAAAAGTATTGGAGGTGAATATGATGGGTTATGGCTGGGTCTTAAAAAATGGCCATGAATGGCAAAATTAGCTGTATAGACCAAAAATTACTGGAGGTGAATATAATGGGTTATGACTGGGTCTTAAAAAATGGCCATGAAGGGGAAAATTAGCTATATAGACCAAAAATGACTGGAGGTTAATTAGTGTTCTCACGTGTTGTGTGTCCTCTAGGCATCGGCCTGAAGTACGTGGCTCTGGGAGACGTGGTGATCCTCATCACCTTCGGGCCTCTGGCGGTGATGTTCGCTCACGCGGTCCAGGTGGGATACCTGTCAGTGCTACCGCTAGTGTACGCCGTGCCGCTAGCGCTCAACACCGAAGCCATCCTGCACAGCAACAACACCCGAGACATGGACTCGGACAAGCAGGCGGGAATCGTCACGCTAGCCATCCTGGTGGGACCAACGCTCTCCTACATCATCTACAACCTGCTTCTGTTCGTGCCCTACCTGCTGTTCTGCATCCTAGCCACGCGCTACAGCATTAGCATGGCTCTCCCGCTGCTGACGCTGCCCATGGCCTTCCCGCTGGAGAGGCAGTTCCGCCGCCGCTGTTACGCCAAGATCCCGCAGAAAACCGCCAAGCTCAACCTGCTCATGGGACTCTTCTACGTGTTCGGGATCATTCTGGCGCCGCAGGGCAGCTTGCCGTTATTGTGAACCGACTAGAACTCTAGTCCTGTTTGTTTTAAACAACTCTAGGTACTTTTGTATTCATAGCGATGCTAATCCAGAGTTCAAAGACTTTTAATTTATTGTTGTTTATTTATGTGTTCAGAGTTGGCAAGTGCTTTCAGTGCATAGACTGTCCAGGACACCAGTATTGTGAAAGAGACCAGCCTGTAAAATAATATATATATATTAGCGATTAATCGCATCCAAAATAAAAGTTTGGGTTTACATAATATGTGTGTGTACTGTGTATAATTTTCACACACATGCATGTATATATTTAAGAAAAATTTGTTATTTATATATCAAATATTTATATTACATATAATACATACATGCATATGTGTGTATTTATAAATACAAAATAATTACACACAGTACACGCACATCTATAATGAGATCAAACTTTTATTTGGGATGTGATTAATCGCTGCCCTGCACTATTATAAATATATATATGGTTTACTAGTACATTAAATGTTTCAGATATATTAAGTACCTTTCTCATTTTTTCATGTTTTTGTAAACATGACTATAAATCATTTTTTTAATGATGTTTTTGATTTTATAAAACCAGTTGAGTATCAAGTATAGTGGTCTTCAATAGTGGTCAATTGGTGTTTTAACAAGGGAACCGTAATGCTGAAGTCCCCCTGTAGTGTAAATCCAGCGTTTAATGTTGTTTATGTGTGTGTGTGGTGTTTTTAATCCGCTTTAACACACACCATGTGTTCATAAGTTGATAAGTGCTGAGTATTTCCTCCTTAACACTGCAGTGAACCAAAGACAGTCTCAAAAACACGCTTTGGTGTTTCTGACGTCACAAACCACCTTGTAACCAATCAGATCAACGTGTGATCGTCAACCAGTGGAGTGAGTGGAGGCGGGGCTAATTTGCATATTCATAGTACCGCGCATACTAAATGGGGCAAGGGTGTCGAGTTACAAGATATTTTAAGACAAATATGTAATTTTGGTGATCAAAGATGAGTTTTAGAGATACAATCATTGACTACAGGGGGACTTTAAATAGTTTTTTAGTTTTAGTGCCAATGACTTTTGATTGTTTTTTTGCCAAATGAACCAAACTCCTGAATCCACAAGAAAGGTGTAGTTGAGTATAAAATGCTTCTCAGCTGGATCTTAGACATATTTTAATGTCAATTTTTTTTTCTCCCCCAAATAAAGGATATAAACCAAGTGTGTTTGCCTCATGTTGCTGCTGTTTCTCCAGGACACAAGTTTCCAATCCCTTCACTTGGTTTTCAAATAGCAGCATGTATTTGTGGACAATACAAGTTGATGAAGTTTAGTAATTCTGAGAGGATATAAGCTCATAATTGTTTCCTTACTTGGATACTGTATTTAATACGTATATTGCTTGGTTTTCTCTTATCTTGTCCATTTAAACGAAGACATGCCCGTGTTTTCACATGTACATCTCCAACTGTTCGTTCAAAAATGTCCAGTTTTTAAAATGTTTTTTTGTAATGTAAATGTTAAAGATACATTATTATTGAATGTTAGCTAAAGTTCCGAGAACGTCTGTTTGGTGATTACTTAAAATGTCTCTTATAAGTGTAAGAATGAAATGCACACTTGTCTATAATATATGAAGTGATCATCGGTGTAGCGTTTGGGAACGACAACAAGATGGCTCACACGGACCATATAGTGGGGGCGCAATCTCGGCTTTCGCGCATGCGCACTGTCCTGTTTCAAATCAGGATTTCACTATCAAGTATATTGATTTACTAATCAAGTATACGAAGGTTCCCCGTAGTTCTACACAACCTGCATCATAAAGACAATCATTCAAAACTAGGAACATTAATGACGCACTATAGCCAAACAAATTACGAATCCGACTACGGCGAAGGATTAGCGCATGAATATTAATCGAGCGTTGCCTGGTAACCTTCTTGGAGCGTCACATCATTAATATTCATGAGCCTATCTCTCGCCATAGTACGGTTGGTAAATTTGCATACGGCACGGGAAGCAGGGGCGTGGGCGTGTCCACGATTAACCCGCACTGCCAGCTTGACTAGCGCGATGTGGTTTTCATTTCGATGATTTGTAGATGTTTTTTGTTTTTGTTTTCCTGTGGAATTGTTTGCGGACACACAACCACGCGAGGGGACGCGGAAGCATCGGCCTGATGGATGTTGTCCAGTGGCGTTACTGACGCGCGCGGCCATCGCATCGCAGTAATAACCGCTCGTAAGCCTGTATTAGCGCATTAATCGCTGGGCCGGTGGAGCATTAATGTTGTCGACAGGTAAGATGAAACAACGACACGATATGATGTGTTTTTGTGCGACGGCCGATTCATATAACGGTGTCGCGGCCATGCAGATTAAAAAACGGTTTATTATGATTTAATTGGCCTGTTTTGCTTGTAAAGATAATTCTGTAATATATGTTGATTATATCTCCCATTATCAGTCAACAAACAATCAATGCTATCAGTAAATGACTAACGTTAGCTTTTACAAGAGCAATCACGCGCTCTTGCTAATAAACACATTTTATACATTTATTTACACATTTATTGTCATATTTGGTGTTTGCTGTAATTTATTGTGCTTTGTTTATTTGAGCAGCGCACATTGATGGTTCCCTTATGGGAAAGTGCCACTATATAAAATGCTGGGTTGTTTCATCCCATGTTTGGGTCAAATATGGACTTTTAAACCCAACTGTTGGTTTATATGTTAAACTGATAAGGATTTGTCCATATTTGACCCAAACATGAGATGAACCAACTCGGCATTTTATATAGTGTGGTGCTATAATAGTATAGTGATGGTAAGACATGCTATTTTCATACATCCCACGTGTGTATCGAGAATATATATATCAGTGTTACCTCACACAACACCATACATGTGGCTTTATGTGTTTTGGCACTAGCCTGTCTGAAACTGTGAGGCATTTGTGTTTCCTTCTTTGTTTTGGGCTGTTTTGTTTGAAACAATAATCACTATGATAATGCTATGGTACAGTAATGGCGTCAGAGATGATTAAATGGCACTGTGATGTTTCAGAGATGCATAAAGTACTGAAATAGACACCTTAAAGTGGGCGAAGAACACCATAGTATTGCATAAGTTCATCATTGGCTTTGATGGTTTTAAGATCCTTTAACATCAATGCAATATTTCCATTAGATTATTAAATGAACTGATCATCTCTATGGCATCACTGTGACCTTTGAACCTTCATTTTTAAGAGTGCATGCCGATGCCGAAAACATGTTTTCTGGAAAGCGTTCATTCGAAGGACAGCAGTTGTGTTTAGGGGGTCAGGAGGAAGGTTTTTATTGGTCAGCAAACAAAGAAGTTGACGAAGCAGAGACATATAATATGTGCCAATGTAAATGCAGATTCAGTCCTTTGCTTAGTGTTTTGTTTCATTGTAGTTTTAGACCTTTAATTTCTCTTCTGAATCCTTGGATTAATGTATGATGATGAATATATATTTCAAAAGCTTGTGTATTTCCCCACAGCAGTAAAGGTGTGGTTGGACTGGTCATGCGGGCAGTGACAATTCATCATTGTTGTTGAATGAACATTGGGTTTATCATGTGCTCCCCCAACCTCATGCTTATCAATGATAGTGATATGAGAAGTGAACACTGAATATTATTAAGATCATTTCAGTATCTTTTTAAAATAATTTTGTATGGGATACATTTTGATTATGTACTCATATATTTGGTTTTCTTGTGTACTTGCAGAGAGACTCCGCCTAGTGAGTGAGTTTTGATTGATTTGGTTGCAAAAGCAGTTTGCTTGAACAGAAGCTCCGCCCACACACTCTTCTGATTGGCTGTTAGTTTTGATTGATTTGGTTGCGAATGCAGTTTGCTTGAACAGAGGCTCCGCCCACACACTCTTCTGATTGGCTGTTAGTTTTGATTCATTTGGTTGCAAAAGCAGTTTGCTTGAACAGAAGCTCCGCCCACACACTCTTCTGATTGGCTGTTAGTTTTGATTCATTTGGTTGCAAAAGCAGTTTGCTTGAACAGAGGCTCCGCCCACACACTCTTCTGATTGGCTGTGAGTTTGATTGATTTGGTTGCGAAAGCAGTTTGCTTGAACAGAGGCTCCGCCCACACACTCTTCTGATTGGCTGTGAGTTTAATTGATTTGGTTGCGAAAGCAGTTTGCTTGAATAGAGGCTCCGCCCACACACTCTTCTGATTGGCTGTTAGTTTTGAATCATTTGGTTGCGAAAGCAGTTTGCTTGAACAGAGGCTCCGCCCACACCCTCTTCTGATTGGCTGTGAGTTTGATTGATCTGGTTGCGAATGCAGTTTGCTTGAACAGAGGCTCCGCCCACACTCTCTTCTGATTGGCTGTGAGTTTGTTTGATTTGGTTGCGAATGCAGTGCGCTTGCAGAGAGACTCCGCCCACACACTCTTCTGATTGGCTAAATCAACAAATAAAATAAAAAGCAGAATAACGGAGAACTGAAATAGTGAAGTTGGCAGTCCTCCTCAGATGCCAGTTCTTTTATCAGTACTTTTAGATTATTACTTTACGACCCGGAACCGACTCATTAGCAGAAGTTACACTTCTCTTTGGATGACCTCACTCAACACACACGTGTCTTTGAACTAATACGGTCTAACTGACGGATGTGCAACAAAGTTACTAAGGTTTTTGGAAACGGTTGTGTCTAGCTAATACCTGTAGCTCAGCATTGTGGGAAACACACCTACAGGTGAAACTATATTAAATAGACTCACATGCAAAGTGAAGGTTATTTGTTATTATTTTGATGATTATGAAAACCTTTTCACAATAATATTCTAATTTTGAATTTGGGGTTTTCATAAGCTGTAAGCCATTATCATCACAATTATTACAAATAAAGGCTTGAAATATCTCACTTTGCATGTAACAAGTCTATATAATATATTAGTTTCACCTGAAATACTGAAATAAATGAACTTTTGCACGATATTCTAATTTTTCGAGCTTCTCCTGTAGTTTGTCTCACATATTGGAATGTTAAAATAACTTTAAAATGCATTGTTCAATTCTGAATCCGACTACACTGGTTGTGACGCATGTGTTGTGTTAATGATGTTGCGTTATCAGATGTTTGATGTTCTTCTGCTTTGCGGTTCGGTCCCGGCATAGGGTGTGACTGTATGAGCTGTAACTCTGCATTCCTGCTTTTGTTATATCAACACACACACACACACACACACACACACACACACACACACACACACACACACACACACACACATACACACACAGAAATAGAGCTGGTCCTGTAACCCCATGTCACCCAGGCCTGGAGGATGAGCTCATCACATATTTCCGTCATCATCGTTAATGAGGTGTCATTGGAAGGCTTAAACTCTGTAAAACCTTTGAGCGGCTCAATTCTTGTGATATATCAACTCCAATCTTCGTTACACATACGGCTTTGAGTTTCCACACTGAGAAAAAAAAAGTAAAATTGACTTAATTTTTTTTCTTCGGAAAGTTTTTGTATGCATATTTTTAAAGTAAATTTCACATCTGGAACGAAGTAAACTCTACTTAACTAAGTTAAGTGAAAGAAAACGAAGAAAATAAGTAATTTTACTTGGCTAGTTAAAGGTTGAGTAGTATCTATTTTGCTGAAGTTTCCTTTGCGGTACGTTTCACTCAAACAATATAACATCAAATAAAACCACTCTTTTAAAGTATATGCTTTACTTCGAAACATCCAAGTAATTAATACAATATTGTGTGAGACACCATAAACACATCAGAAGTTACGCGGCACGTGAACGCAGTACACAATCATGGAAACATTTGATGGATTTTTTTTGTGTTTGAGTAGAAAATTATCTCCAAATGTCACAAAATGGCTAGTTACTAATCCCAACAACACAAGCACTGATGAAACAGCTGAAAACAGTGTAGATGTCCAACAGATGTTCAGTAGATCACTGTAGATGTCCGACAGACGTTCAGTAGATCACTGTAGATGTCCGACAGACGTTCAGTAGATCACTGTAGATGTCCGACAGACGTTCAGTAGATCACTGTAGATGTCCGACAGACGTTGTTCAGTAGATCACTGTAGATGTCCGACAGACGTTCAGTAGATCACTGTAGATGTCCGACAGACGTTCATTAGATCACTGTAGATGTCCGACAGACGTTCAGTAGATCACTGTAGATGTCCGACAGACGTTCAGTAGATCACTGTAGATGTCCGACAGACGTTGTTCAGTAGATCACTGTAGATGTCCGACAGACGTTCAGTAGATCACTGTAGATGTCCGACAGACGTTCAGTAGATCACTGTAGATGTCCGACAGACGTTGTTCAGTAGATCACTGTAGATGTCCGACAGACGTTGTTCAGTAGATCACTGTAGATGTCCGACAGACGTTCAGTAGATCACTGTAGATGTCCGACAGACGTTCATTAGATCACTGTAGATGTCCGACAGACGTTCAGTAGATCACTGTAGATGTCCGACAGACGTTCAGTAGATCACTGTAGATGTCCGACAGACGTTCAGTAGTTCACTGTAGATGTCCGACAGACGTTCAGTAGATCACTGTAGATGTCCGACAGACGTTCAGTAGTTCACTGTAGATGTCCGACAGACGTTCAGTAGATCACTGTAGATGTCCGACAGACGTTGTTCAGTAGATCACTGTAGATGTCCGACAGACGTTCAGTAGATCACTGTAGATGTCCGACAGACGTTCAGTAGATCACTGTAGATGTCCGACAGACGTTGTTCAGTAGATCACTGTAGATGTCCGACAGACGTTGTTCAGTAGATCACTCTAGATGTCCGACAGACGTTGTTCAGTAGATCACTGTAGATGTCCGACAGACGTTGTTCAGTAGATCACTGTAGATGTCCGACAGACGTTGTTCAGTAGATCACTGTAGATGTCCGACAGACGTTGTTCAGTAGATCACTGTAGATGTCCGACAGACGTTCAGTAGATCACTGTAGATGTCCGACAGACGTTGTTCAGTAGATCACTGTAGATGTCCGACAGACGTTCATTAGATCACTGTAGATGTCCGACAGACGTTCAGTAGATCACTGTAGATGTCCGACAGACGTTCAGTAGATCACTGTAGATGTCCGACAGACGTTCAGTAGTTCACTGTAGATGTCCGACAGACGTTCAGTAGATCACTGTAGATGTCCGACAGACGTTGTTCAGTAGATCACTGTAGATGTCCGACAGACGTTCAGTAGATCACTGTAGATGTCCGACAGACGTTCAGTAGATCACT